CCCCGATTCACGCGCTATAATTGCGATCAGCTATGTTTGGCTCGTCACGAAGCTGCACACGCGCGCGCGCACCCCCACGCACACCCCCACGCACACCCCCACGCACACACACACCCACACACCCACACACAGAGAGAGACATACAGACACACACACACAGGCAGACAGGCACACGGGCACACAGGCACACACAGATACACACACGCAGATAGACACACACACGCACAGCCACACACACAGCCACACACACACACACAGACACACACACAGACACACACACACAGACACACACACACAGACACACACACACACACACAGACACAGACAGAAACACACACACACACACACAGACACACAGACACACAGACACACAGACACACAGACACACAGACACACAGACACACAGACACACAGACACACAGACACACAGACACACAGACACACAGACATACAGACACACAGACACACAGACACACAGACACACAGAGACAGACACACACAGACAGACAGACAGACAACACAGACAGACACACACACACACACACACACACAACACACACACACACAACACACACACACACACACACACACACACACACACACACACACACACACACGCGCAGACACACACAACAGACACACACACAGACACACAGACACACACACACAGACACACACACACACACACACACACAGACACACACACACACAGACACACACACACACAGACACACAGACACACAGACACACAGACACAGACACACAGACACACAGACACACAGACACACAGACACACAGACACACAGACACACAGACACACAGACACACACACACACACACTTGTGGTACTTCCCAGAGGAAAGTAGTCCGATTCCGTCTGCATTTCTTCCAGTATGGGATCAGCCCGTAGCCACCCATGTTCATGCGACAAGCAAAGTCAGGTGAGCCAAAGCACACTTTGGAGGCACAGACAAGCTGAGCGGAAGCAACGGCCAGAACAGCATCACTTTCTCCGATTGGGGAACCAACAGCTGAAATCATACACATCTGCCTGCAGGTACACGTGGGTGATCAGCCCACGTTTCCCTCACCATACCATAGCTTCGTTGCGTCAGGTAGGTATGGCGAGCCTGACGCCCCTGCTGGACAAATCCGGAAGCTGTGGTCTCCAACTCCGCGTTCGGCTGTATGGTTTTTTTCTCGGGGGCCCCAAGCCAACGTCGTCGAACTGTTCAGATCCGAGAAAACGGAAGAAAACCGAAAAGAGGGGCCCTGTCAAACGTGTTTACAGATCCGACTTGCGTGGCTTCGCTGCTCCAATGAAAAACGGACGGGTGCGAGCATCGGACCTTAGTGCGTATCTGTTTTGAGTTGGACTCCTAAACCAAACAACGTCGTCGAACTGTTCAAGTCAAAAAGAAGAGAAACTAAACAGGAACTGCCCGGTCAAGCATGTCTCCGGACGCAATTTGCGTCGAATGTCTTTGCGACCAGACGTACACTCACACACATGTACTCCATGTAGGAGTAGTCAGCATCGTTGAGAGCTTTTTCCGCGGCCTCTTTGAAGCCCTGGAGTCAGGAATTTCTCACCGATTACAACGCCACCAAAAAAACCACCTTAAACGCTTTAAAGTGCCTCCGTGCAGTTGTGGCACGGTGTGTGTTGAAGTCAGGCTCCCAAAAAACAAAAATTAAGTCAGGGGGTCGTCAGACGGCCAAAAGAAGTTCGGAACCGCTGACCCAAGGTCGTTACTTAGTGCATCAACGAGATCACCCGAGACGGCCACATTTGAGAGGCACATTTGAACAGCACCCCCTGCTGGAAAAAACCGGAAGCTGTGGTCTCCAACTCCGCGTTCGACTGTATGGTGTTTTCCCGGGGGCCCCAAGCCAACCAACGTCGTCGAACTGTTCAGATCCGAGAAAAACGGAAGAAAACCGAAAAGAGGGGCCCTGTCAAACGTGTTTACAGATCCGACTTGCGCGGCTTCGCCGCTCCAATGAAAAACGGACGGGTGCGAGCATCGGACCTTAGTGCGTATCTGTTTTGAGTGGGACTCCTAAACCAAACAACGTCGTCGAACTGTTCAAATCAAAAAGAAGAGAAACTAAACAGGAACTGCCCGGTCAAGCATGTCTCCGGACGCAATTTGCGTCGAATGTCTTTGCGACCAGGTACTCCATGTAGGAGTAGTCAGCATCGTTGAGAGCTTTTTCCGCGGCCTCTTTGAAGCCCTGGAGTCAGGAATTTCTCACCGCTTACAACTCCACCAAAAAAATCTCGGCTGATTCTTCTGGCGATCATGACATCCAGGGCTCTACGGGCTTTGCCCCCACTTCCCAGCAAACTCCGTGCACAACATGAGCGGCAGAGGGTATGACCCAGCATTTTCCAGCTGAGTAGTTCAGAGCCCCGGTGGCCTCAGCCATTCTTAAAGCGGCTTCCTCCCCACCACTTCGAATTGAGCAGCCTTTGCCCCAGCTTATCCCTGACACAACAAGACTGGCCTCGTTTTTGGCGGCCTGCCAGGTGTTGCACAGGACCCGGCCGAATTCCCAAGCATTCGCGGGGTCGTCTTTTGCGACTAACTGCCCAGCAGAGAAAAAGCACTGCGACCAGTCGAAGTGAGCGCGGCTTGGCAGAACGCGGCCTCTGTCCAAGATGCCTTTCAGGCCTCCTGGTGTTGTGGCGTGCGCGAACATACAGTGGGCACACTCTCGAGAGGGCAATGGCACTGGAATTGCTCCGGCTCTTTGGCGCAGCGCTGGAAGCTTCAGCATTTGGAAACGGAAAACGTTGTTGGGTTCTGGCTGTGAAACGCCGCGCCATTCTGACGGGTCTGTCTCAAAGAACCAAACAGGGCCGCAGTCCTTCACGGACATCTTCGACTTGACAAGTGTGCGTGCTATGTACAGAAGAAAACTGTGTGAGGTGACATGTTGCTGGTTCATATTGTTACCAATGTAGGTAGCAATATCCAGCTCAGCCATACTGGCACTATGCTCAACAGTAGGGAAAACGCTAAAAGGAGCACCCGTTTGGGTAAACCTTGGAGTGTTTGAAAGACTTTGCGGCTGTGGCACATGCCAAACACCCGGCGGGGGATCCACAAACTGGGACGCTGTTGTGGATGGCTGGGTTCACTGTCTTTTTGTTGGCTCCGTCTCTTCTATGGTCAGATTCGAAACTGGGCAAGGGCTCTGATTCACCCATGCGATCACAGCGTTTAGCTGGCTCGAGTCAAAATCCAGTTCCAGGCGCAGGCGTGAGGGGGCCATGTTCTATCAGCCGGATATGTTCCAGTAGCACTTTGGCTCTTGTCGACTGAGCCAATGTTGCTTAGGTAGCGCAACACCATCGAACCATTGAGCCCGTATCTTGTTCAGTGGGAAGCACGGGTGCGACATCAAGGTTGCGAGATCAAGGTTTTGGAATCAAGGCTGCGTTGTCGCACAGTGACTCGGAGCGGAAAACAAGGTTAAAAAGTCAAGGTTAGTCATCTCGGTTGGATTATCACGGTCCTGAAATGGCACCATTTCTTCAGAAAAGTGGGTATCAAGGATTTGTACAAGGCTGTCCCTTTTCACGACTCGATCGGATCAAGGATTGGAAAAAGCGACTTGGCCCCCCAGTCGATGCTGGAGTGACGACAGGTCCGCGAGCGGTGTCCCTGCCGAAAAGGTACACACTTGTGGTACTTCCCAGAGGAAAGTAGTCTGATTGCGTCTGCATTTCTTCCAGTATGGGATCAGCCCGTAGCCACCCATGTTCATGCGACAAGCAAAGTCAGGTGAGCCAAAGCACACTTTGGAGGCACAGACAAGCTGAGCGGAAGCAACAGCCAGAACAGCATCACTTTCTCCGATTGGGGAACCAACAGCTGAAATCATACACGTCTCCCTGCAGGTACACGTGGGTGATCAGCCCACGTTTCCCTCACCATACCATAGCTTCGTTGCGTCAGGTAGGTATTCAGACCCGAGAAAACGGAAGAAAACCGAAAAGAGGGGCGCTGTCAAACGTGTTTACAGATCCGACTTGCGCGGCTTCGCCGCTCCAATGAAAAACGGACGGGTGCGAGCATCGGACCTTAGTGCGTATCTGTTTTGAGTGGGACTCCTAAACCAAACAACGTCGTCGAACTGTTCAAATCAAAAAGAAGAGAAACTAAACAGGAACTGCCCGGTCAAGCATGTCTCCGGACGCAATTTGCGTCGAATGTCTTTGCGACCAGACGTACACACACACACGCCTACAAGCCGACACATGCAACACATGCTGCATGATGAGCGCACTTTATGGAGATGCGTGGAGATGCATCCCTTTCACGTAGATTTGTGTAGGTAAACGTGTGCATACTTGCAGTATCCGTAAAACCGCGGCCAGGATGGTACAAAGTGCAGAAAGTCAAGAAGGCTCAAGTGGAACCGGAGTCTGAGTCTGAGGAGGAGGCCTGGAAGATCCTGAGGCTTTGAAGCCACTGTGGCATAGTTGGGCGTTTGGTTGAATTGCGACCCTTTTATGGGGTCCAAATGGGAAACACCGTTTGGCCATGTTGGGTTTCCCACAAAAAGACCCATGGTTGTGGGAAACGTGGTTTCAGTGCCAATTTTGATACCACGGGAAAGCCCTTCAAAGGGATGGTGCATGTTGGTATCACGGAAAAGGGCATTGCCCGTACAAGCATGCATTGTTCTTTTGAATGGCAGGCCTTTGGTTGCATTGAAATGACCTTAACTTGGGACAACAAATGTTTGACGCTGGACAGCCAACAAATGCTTCATGTGCAGTTCTCCAAGACCTGGACAGCCAGCAAGAAACCAGGAGCAAGGCTTGGACAAGGTCAAAGACAGGACCAAGTTTAGGTTGAGAATGGGTGTGAATTTGACCGGCGGACGCTTTCCCAGACCTGTTATGCCCCTTTCTCCTTTTTTTTTTTTCTCGGAGGGGTTTCCATTCAAAGTCAACTAGCAACAAAATACACAATGAGTGCCCCATGGCCGCTGCAGGCCTGGGTATGTCCACCAGGCACTTTGCAGGGGTTCCCGCGGGGTCACCAATTGAACGTTGCAACCAGCACCAGGTGACACCGGAGATCGACCAGGAGGCGGCGGAAAGGGAGGCAGCAGCGAAAGAGGCAGCGGCCAAGACCCGTGCGGAGGTGGAAGCGGCCAAGGCAGGGCTTAGATGACTTGCTTGGATGGGCAGCGCGCAAAACCGATTTCAGCAATTTCAGTAGGTACTACCTCGCTTCATAAAACTTGTAGTAAAGCGTCTAGGATGCTTAACCATACAGAAACAAATGTCGATGGCGCATACTGGTGTCTGGCAGGTTTGGGTAACATGACTTGGAACCACTTGGAACCACGAGCGCCTGCAAATTCACAAGTAATGTGAGGAGCATGTAACATGTAACTTAGCTGACATGGAAATTCTTTGCAAACACGCTTACAACCATGGTTGCGCAAACCACTCAGCTATCTCCAACATCATCCCGGTATATGAGAATTTTGCATGGTCCATTTGACATTCAACCAAATCTAAGCTCCTTAACTTAACATGGCGAGCTCACCAATGTGGTTGGGGTAGGGGGGAGGGAAGCTCACCATGATGCAAGTCCTTTACTTGGGAATCCCTCATTTTTTGCTGCGACTGAGAAGCGTCCAACGCGCTTCTTGACTAGTCTTGGTCTCTCAGAAAGGCTACTATGGGCACGTACCAAGAAAGGGGACCGTGAAATCCACGGCGCATCTGATTTGTTGTTCGCCTGAGCGGCCCAAAAGCCAAGCCCGAGCCAACCTGACCCCCTTCAGCCGGGATCAACGGAATGACTGACTCCCTTCCCCCTTGTTTGCTGGGTTCCTGGATTCCCTGTCCAGTGATTCACCCATGGGGTTTCCAGGGTCATTGGTAGGAAGATTGCGCAGGCTCCCTGTGGTGAGATTAAGGTTGCACTCTAAATGGCACTGGGTTGAGACACCTTGCTCGCTTGCCCGTGATGTTCTACAAACGTTCTGGCTGCCCTTGCCGGAATAAGACTGTAGGCATGTGCTTGCGGAAACCACTAAGAATCATACATGGCAAAGGCTCAACTCAGGCGCATGATTTGATACTTAGACGCCACTGCCAGGCAGGTAAACCAAGAATGTTGACAAGGCCGCCATCTACCAGCCTCAAATGCTTACGGTCAGCGAGCCCTTCCTTGCTCTGGGCGGATCATTATGTCTACCCTTTCCTTGTCTCTCAGGCCAAATATGAAATTGAACCAGAACACATCATTCTCTGTGTGCCGGGATGTATGTGGCAAGTGGGTACTGGTTGCTGTGAATTGGTTGCCAGGAGCTGTGGCAAAAGATACGCAGTCAGGCCAACGCTGAGGACGCGTTGGAATCAGTGAAATGGACCCTGGAAAGCCCAAAGGTGGGTATGTGGGCCTCTTCGTTCACACCTATATAGAGTTCCTGGACATTCAACTTTATAAAAAGAACATTGTACTGGTACACAACAAGTGTAGTTGTTTCTGACAAATCTGCTGAAGATGTGAGTCTCAAAGCCAAGGTGAGAAGGATACTCTCGAAAATTTGTTTGTGTTTGGAGGCTTGGTAATCTGTTCATCTTGCGCCAAAGGGAAGCCGTCAAGAAAAGAAGGTCATTCCTTTTTGACAATACCCAAGTGATGTTGACCCTTTGAAGCCAACCACGGCGAGTATTGCAGAGGGAAGGTTGCCCGAAAAGTGAAGTCCCTGCAACATGGAACAGCCCCCACTCAACCAAGAGTTTGTTAATTCTGGCTTTCCAACAACCCTCGCCCGAATGTGCTAGACATTGAGACACTGGGTCATGTCTACATCCAGGGGTTCCAGGACTCGGCCCGCGAGCAGTTCGCTCAATCCTTGCCCCCGGGGGTCGCCAAGTTCGCGGCGTTGCTGGTGAACCGCTTCGGGTCTTTGGAGCCGCGTGACCGGTGAAACCGCTGGCTTGCTTTCAAGAGACTTTCGAGGGACGGTGTTTGTAGGTAGGGAGGTTATATACCCCTTATATAACGTATATAAGAGGTTCATACAATGGTACCATATTTTTAATGGTGTACAAGCATCCATACCTTCAAACCCCGCAGCTGAAAATGCCCTTGACCATTTGTTCACTGAAAGCTGTGTTTTCCAAGCTCGTCACCAACAAACATGGTTCCAAATCTTTTTTTTGCAGGCAGTAGCTTGCTCCCGCTCGGTTGGTTCGCATTGGCTGGGATTCGCTTGGATCGGAAACAGGGGTGGTTAGGATTGGTGACATGATTGGCGTTTGGGATTGGTGGGTTGGTGGTTGGGATTGGTGTTCTGCGTAGGCCAAGTGGAAAAACACCCTAAACGGATTCGGAAACGCAGTTTTGCGATGCCGACTTTGGGTTTTACGAGGGCAAGCCACGGATTTGGGATTAGTTGGAGCTTGGAGGGGATCTCTTGGGGTCTGAGTGTCCGGATTGCAATGCCAGGTCATGGCATTTGACCATCCTAAGGCGGGCCTTCAACAACTTCGACTACAACCGGAAGGGCAAGGTCACCAGAGGCAGGTTGTTGCTTGTTTTGAAAGCTCCATCAAGAATCAGGTGGGTGCGTTTACAAGGGGGATCCGCTGCCTTTACTTTGCCCAGCACGCCACCCGTTTGCCAAATGTACGTTGACTTGGCCAAATATTTTTACAGCACTCCCCGGACTTAGCTCGTTCTGGAAGGCCTGAACCCTGTCGAGGCCAGTTCCAAACCACCTTGGCCACCATCCGCCTGAACACGGATGAAGTGGTAGGCCTGCCTTCCAAGAAGGTCTTCAGGTTGATCGCCGCCGGGGCGCAGGCAAGGGATCGACGAGACGGGGAACCGCGAATGGTGACTGGGGAAGGCGCCCTATTGACATTGCAGATATGTGATTGTATGTGGTTGTGTGTTTGTTTGTTTGGCAGGGTGCTGTGCAATAACTTTGTTGCTTGCTGGCGGAGGCTTTGCTTCTAAGGCAGAGGTTTGTTTTACCTTTGTGCGTGCATCCTTGAAGGCACCGGGGAAAAGCCAGGGACAAAGGTTCCCACTTTCACAATGCCCAGGCGTAGGTGCGAGAGCCATCCCCTAAACCGGGGGTCCCTACCTTGATGTTTTGAGCCATCGAGAAGCTAACCTTCCAATCAAAATCCAGTGCCTAGGGAACCTGCCCATGTCAAGCCATGGAGAACGAGGTCCTGGCAGGAAGGAAATGGTCTCACAAGGAAATTTTGTTTGCGTACCGACACTCATGAGAAAGCGGAAACGAACCACCATCATGTGCCATTGTGCTTACCCCTGATGAGGGTCCCGTGCTTATGATTGCAATAGCTATTGCAGATGAATGAAGCGCCAGGGGGGAAAGGATGGTGTTTAACCCGTTGGGCGTTTGGACTGAGGGGCGGGCTTTGGATGGGGAACCCGTCTCAGCGCGTCCTTTCGAAAGCAAATGGGGTTTCACTACTTGGCTTCCCAAAAGAAGGGGGTCCTTTTGTCGTTTGTTTTTGTCGATGCAAAACCGCTATGTTCATTGAGCGGCCATATGGAGGCCTCTCCGCATGTGCCACTAGGAGTGACAGACCGAAAATCAAGCCAGCTGACGGATAAAGGTCCCTTCTGGGTAAAGATTTGGCAACATCGTACATAGTTGAAATGATCAAAGAACGGAGTTATCCCTGGGTTGAGGGTTGAACGTGGACGACTTGGGGGGATATGTTTGTGACGGTGTGAATTGTTTCAGACGTCACACGAGAAACATGTTTTTTTCACATTGCTCCCCTGAGTCTGCGCTCGAGATCACTCTGGAGCAGTGGCAAAACTTCTTTGATCAGGAGCTCACCGGCGAAGCCCCTTGGATCATGTGCACGCCCAATCCTGGTTCTCAGTGGGGAATTTTCGGAAATGAGCCCTATTCGCCATCAACTGGATTTCCTTTTAGGGGATCCGCTTCTGGTTCATTCCCCAAACTCCAAGGACATTTTTCTGGAAACCGGCCAGACATTCGATATGAGCCAACCTGCTTTGGGCTTGGGCTTCCTTCAGAAAGCCCTGGGGCCTGTTTCTGCTTCAACAAACTCAAGCCTTTTACATCAGGTACCCTGTAGTCGGTGGTTCTTGCAGAGGGTAAATGGAGTTTCCCACCCCTGGAACACCTCCGAACCAATCCAAACCCACCAAGTAGAGGCAAATCCCCTTGAAAGTGGCAAATTAGTCACGGGTTTGGCTTAAAAGCCCTAGGCTCTGTCTCTTCAACAAACTAACCCGTTCAATCAAATTACCCTCCAATTGGTGGTTTGTATCTGGAATTGACTGGCTTTTGCAGAGGGTAAACGAGTTGTCCACCCCAAAAAAGCCAAACCACCGAGGCTGATTTAGGAGAGCCCTACCCTGCTGTCCCTGGTTCCCTGGGCATTCCCTCGCCGTCGCCGTCTGAGGACGCGTCCTTTTTGCTGACGGAGGACAGGGGGTCGCAGGCCCCGAAGCGCTGGGCCCAGATGAAGCAGCTGCCCAGCAAGGCGAATTCGGAATCGTGGAATTGCGACCGTGAATGACGGGTGGGGCGTCGGGGTGGAGGGTGGGATTGCGCCGGTTGGGCCGGTTGGGCTGGTTTGGGGTTGGGAGGTGGGAGGGAACTGGGTGGTTTGGGCCAAAAGCTGTTTGAATGTCATGCCTTCCACTTGAAAACCCGCTACGAGCGAAGAGGAGTTGGTTGCAGCATGCCTGGTTGCATTGAAGGGAACCCAGAAGGAGGGTGTACTACTTCCTACAAGTAAGCCCTAAGAAATGGCTTTAGGCGGGTACTTGGGAGGAAGCAACGAGCAACGGGAGGGTGTGGGAGTTTGGGAATGGGCCGAGATCCTATGACTCATCACTGCAGTGGGGTCCCTGTCAATCCTTGGGTTTTCCTAACGAGTGGTTGTCCATTGCGGGTTGTGGAAAATTGGATTGGCCGACAGGGTGTTGAATCTCCGAGCCGTTCAGAAATAAAGAATCGCTGCGAGAGGCTCTTCAGCTGCTGGTGGAGCAGGGTGAGCTAGCGGACAAGGATGCGGGTGACAGTGGCGATGAGTCACCCTAAGGATTTACCAGGCACCACCCCAAAAGGGCCTCCAAGACCCAAGAGGGCGAGAATCGGGAGATTCCGGGTTGCTTCACTGCTCTTGGCATGTGTTCGTTGTTTTTTTCTTGTAGGTTTGGCTGTGTTTAAGCGTGGCTGCAAAGAACAAAGTTGTTTGGCTAAGATACCAAGGGGCAAACAGACGCAAGTAGCTACCCAGGGCTAAAAGACTTCGGACTCCTGCGTTTCGTTCTTCTGCTTGGGGCGAAAGGGGGCGATAATTTGTTTCAATTAGTGACAGGCAAGCCACCCCTGAACCAGGAGAAATTCCCTAAGCGGGGTCCCAAATGGAGCTGCCGCAAAGAACGCGATGACTGTTTCATGCTCTTTTGTTACTTTTTGAGCTTGATTTTGATTCCCTGAAAGCCAACATCAGGAAATTGATAAGCCCTCGGGTTACTAGCTGCCAAGAAACCAAACATAGCAGGTGGTTTTTAAATATATCCTTCAAGGTAACCTGTTTGAGATCCCCTGAAGGAGGAGCTGGCGAAGGAGGCTCTGTCAAAGCACGGCCAGCGCAAGGCGGGAAACACGCGGGGGCCGAGCGCCCTTGAAGTCCACAACTTCAACTCACTCCCTGAGTTCCTAGACTTAATACTTTCTGGGAAGGCACATTTAGGGGTAATAATAAGTTCGGACTTTTTGAGCCCATCCACTCAGGACGTGAAACAGTGTCGTGTTCTAGCCGCAAAATGCATGAATGCGGATGTGAATGCATGCAAGTACGACAGCTTTGGAGTAAAGTATGGAGAACTGTTTCTTCCATTTGCTCAAGATATGTTTATCTTCCCCTGCGGGTTTCAAGGGGATGTTTCACTACTGGAAATATGTTTGTTTCTTACAGTGGCCTTAAAGCAAGTGGAGGATTTGGTAGCGGAATGTTTTGTGCGTGTGTTTTCTCAGCCCGCGTTCAATTCTTGTCCTTGGAATTTGTTCATTTCGACCACGTGTCAGCGTATGGACCCAGTTCGAGTGAACCGGCGCGGCTTGACCAACATCGGAGTTTCTGTTTGTTGTACTTTGCTTCTCTTTGCTTCTTTGTTCGTCGAATGGTGGCTTGCTGTGCGTTGTTTGGCTGGGCCCAAAGCAAAGATGAGTCTGCCTCATAACTGACGAGGAGGTGTTTGGTCACTGGGAACGTCTTCCCTGCATCCCTCTCGGTGGCTGGAACTGTTAGACCTGTGCCGAGACAAAGCGAGGCTTGTTTTGGGTGGTAAGGGGCGAAGGGTATGAATGCATTTCCTCAGGTCCCGAAAAGTGGCGATTCTTGATGAGACCTCTGACTCGGGACTCGTTGGGGTGGTCAAGCTGGTTCAACTGGTTATAACCAGGGTTGCTAACCACTTAACATGGGGTGTTTTGGCGAGCCGTCTGAGGTTTTACAGATGCATATTTGTGGATCCCGTCCGATTCGCATGTCCCGAGTAGCCCGGCCGAACCTGGCCACGTAATATTGAGTTCCCCCGCCCACACTGCTATTTAAAATTCCGCGCAGGGGGGGAACTATCAATACGGTGGACCTTTTGAACTGGCAAGGGATTACATGTGCTTCCACCTGGGCTTGCCGGGGATGCTCATCAACCCCTTTGCGGTTCACAGCAATTTGACCCAGAATGTCAATGTGGAATGCCCTGTGGTTGGAGGACATAAGCCCATGTGATTAAAATCCACTGCAGGCTCATCCTCGCGAACCAAACGCCGTCATTCCTAGAGGCATTTCCTTTTGGGGAGGCTCTTTTTTGGGTTCTATGTTGATTTGTTGTTTTTGACCCACTGGGCCCCATCCGAGCTGAATAAACACAATGCAACCCGCATGGTAAAGGGCTTTGTCGGGTTAGCGCCGGAGGTTGGTCAGGTCGCTGCAACGGCTAGGCGCGGGGCCCAACATCCGATGGCTTTCTTGCTTACTGCTCTTCGCATGTGTGTCTTTTTTGCTTGGTCCTGTTCAGTTCAAGCGGGGCAAAGAGCAACGGGTTAGATCAGGCGCCAAGGGTTCGACTCGGACCCCGCTTTCAGCAAGATGATGTTCACTGTGGGACAACCCGGGGGGGTGGGGGTGGAGCGCTAGCCCAGTGCCAGCAGCAGCTGTTGTTCAGAAAACTGAGCATGTGCAAGATCCTGCACCATTTGATAAGTGGTTATTCATGCGGCTTCATCCATTCGGATTAGTTCGAAGGGGCTTTTGTCCACTTTATGAGCCTGTGGTGGTCCCCTTCGAAGCTTTCTCTTGGATGAAAAACATTCATGGAAGCGAAACTTACGCAAGGCAATGGCCAGGAGCTAAGGCAGACACCCTTGCACTCCCTGAGTTTCTGCGTGTTATTTTTCATTTGCTGAAATGTAAATTTCCACGTCGGTTTCAAGGGGATCTATCAATGCTGGAAATGTGTACTTCTACAGTTATACTTGTTGGGCAGACTGCTGGTGAGATGTCGGTGAAGGCCGAGAGTCTTTCCAAGGGGTTTGGGAGGTTGGCCTTGCTTATGCTGGTCATACACTGTCAACCAAGGGAGGCGCCAGCACATGACGTGCTGCTTTGAAGGAGGGGATTGCACCGTACAGGACTGCAACGAAACTCTGGTAGCATACCCCATGTGCTGCATCTATTTCCTGAAAACCAGCAGGAGGTTCTGCCGAGTGTTTTGCCAGATGCCCACAACTTCCTGTAGAGTTTCCAGTGGCAGGTATCTTGGACAGCTGGAAGCGGCAAGTTGCAAGCCCGCGAAGTGACCGATGCACAGCCTATCCCGTTGCGCCCCTCAGGCGCTCGGATGGCGAGAAGCACCCCGATGGCGAGCGGCGACTGAAGCGGCTTCGGCGCGATGGGAGAGTTTGGTCCGTAATGAGTTGGTACCCTCCCATCCACAACATGGAACCTCAGAGAGGGCGAGCGGGGGGGGTGCTGGAAGAATTTTCCTTCAAAAGGGACCCTTTGGTGGTTTCCATGTTAGTGGACCAGAGCGTACCAGACTCGCAGAACGCATTCTGGTCCCTAGAGGTTTACGGATGGTTTACGGTGGTGCACGAGAGGAGAGTTTGCCGTTTGCCATCCTACACACAAGCAACACAGTGACAGTGTTTTACATGTTTAAGACCATTTCAATTCAGTGGCAAGCACAAGCAACAAGTTCGGACTTGCGTTGGCCACTCCGAGCTTCTGTCAGGTTTGCGATCAATTGTGAGACATGAGTCTAGCATGATTCATCATGACTCTAAGGCAACTAGGTTTCAGCCTCAAAGAAAATACAGTGTGCACCTGCAAACGTGCCCCCAGCCACACCTCACCTTTGAATTGGGTTCATCAAGCTATGTTTGTGTTATATGGGGGGTGCATAAGGGTAAGTATATGCACACATTGTCCATGTGTATGTGTATATATATATATATATGTGTAAATAGAATTTGTATTTGGGGCACGAACAATTGGCACGATTATTTCCCTAGAGCCCTTAGCAAAGTTGGCGGAAACCACCCAGTCGCAGGAAAAGAAAGGGGAGTCAAGATTAAGCTGCAATGCCAATGGTTAGTTAACTCCCACAAGCCTGGCTGGTTGCACAGTTGCCCCTTCGAAGGAAGACTACTTTGCTCTTTGAGGGTAATGGTTTGGAATGGCTTGATCATGTTAAAACTGGTGGATGGCTTTGTCCTGTCAGCGGATCGCATGATGCGCATTCAGCTTGCAGAAGGTGTATGTGGCGGCTTCTCAAGGATCCAGGGACCCAGTGGATCACAATATACTCCCACACGGCACCACGGAACACCCAAAAGGAGATTCCTCTAAAACTGACAGTTTTTTAGTTCCACGTTAAATTGCAGGGGATCTGGATATGATTCACGGGTTGTGTCCGTCCACCGGGCGTTCATTGCTTTGCGGTTTCATGTTAGCCCGGGGAGTGTGGGATTCCATCAAAGGAATCTGACTTATTTGCCAGATGCAAATTGGGTTCCTCAAAGTGACGAACTTCGAGGGGTTCTGAAAATTACTTCTAGGGCAGGTTTTCCCTTTTTGGGGGTTCTGCATCGTTTAGGTTTACGGGGTCCAAGAAACACGGCTGCGGCTTCCAGGATCTCCGTTGTTACGGCTTGAGGTTCACCCCATTGGGACAAACGTATCATATCTCCGTATATACACACGAGGTAGTTTGGGAGCACCTCTTTCATCTTGAGTTGGCCCAAAATGTGGGTGACTGAATCGCTTCGTCCAAGGATTCAACGCAGCAGTGACAGCGATGATCGAGAGGATACCGCAGATCCAGGAGGGTCCTCGGATGACGCGAGGGACTATGAGGCAGGCCCACCTAACCTGGGCCCAGCCCAACAGCGAATGTGAAACCAAGTATTCTTTGTTCTTGGCATGTGAGCCAAAGTGCGCAGTCTCAGTGACCCTGCGACTCAGGCCGTGATTATTTGCTACTGGTGAGACAAAGTAAAAACGATACTTTACCGCAATTTTCTGAAAGAGGGCACAAAGCTTGAGGCTTACAGAGACTTGCGGCTAAAATGTCGCTCTCAGAGTCTTGCGCCTCAGTTTTTTTGACACGGACTTTGTCAAGATTCCCAAGCTCAGACTCAAGTTTTGCAACTCGAAACTTCCCAGGGCAGCGTTTGTTTTCGAGTGGTCGACCCTCAAAAACTATAAGCACTCGTGGCTTTCTGCTTGTTGTCACTAGGCTGCAGAGAGAGAGAGAGAGAGAAAGACAGAGAGAGAAACAAAATAAAGAAGAACAAAACAAACAAAAAAGAGAGGTGGCATAGAGAGAGAGAGAGAGGAGAAAGAGACAGAGGATATGAAGTGGAACAGAGACAGAGAGAGAGAGAGAGATAGAGAGAGAGAGAGAGAGACCGAGAGACAGAGAGACACAGAGAAAGGGAGACACAGAAGGGGAACAGAAGCGTGCTCCAAACTATAGTTCATATATTTTGAAACTTGAGCTGCAAACCATGGTGACTAACCCCAGCTTCTTCCGAGTCTGGCACCCGTTACCGAATCCCGGAAGGCAGACGATGCGGATGACGATGCGAACAGCTTACGTGCGGGCACGGAACTGGAAGACGGCAGTGCTAGCGGCACAGGTTCCGCAGCTTGGCTCACGCCCTGAGTTCCTGGACTTTGCTGTGGTGTATACTTTTGAGCAGGCTCACTCCCTGAATTCCGGCCTGGACTTCTCAGTCGTTGGGAAACTTTTCTGGAAGTTATCCCCTTCAAGTCACCAGAACATGTACTAGTGGAGGACCATGGAAAGTGCCAAGCAAGAGTTCTTGTCGACCCGGATTAACAGAATTGGGGGTTATTCAGGGTGCTTCCTCAATAGTGAGATTGGACCCCCCCCCCCTTGCCCCATCAGTGTAGCCAAGCAGGGGGTTGATCATTCAGGTGCTTCCTTACTCATGGAAGGTTTGGACCTACCAAATAGGTTCTTAAGATTGATTGCCTTGATTGGTGTGGTTTGGTCCAGGTGCGCGTTGATGCCACCATGCAATGTGTCAAGGTGCTAAGTGACATGCCTGTCAAGTTAAGAAACCTCAAGCTGTTCGCTGGTAGAGCACTCCATTACTTTAGAGCCTCCGGCTCAGTCCGCCGACATTGTCCTCTCCCTTTTCTCCTTCTTCCTCTCTTCCTTGTCTCCCTTGTGTGTTCTGTCGTCCTCTCTCCCTCCCTCTGCTCCCATCCTCCCCATCCCCCCAAGCCTCTCTCTCCCCACTCTCCCTCTCTCGTATGTATGCATGCATGTACATATGTATGTATGTATGTATGTATGTATGTATGTATGTATGTATGTATGTATGTATGTATGTATGTATGTATGTATGTATGTATGTATGTATGTAATGTATGTATGTATGTATGTATGTATGTATGTATGTATGTATGTATGTATGTATGTATGTATGTATGTATGTATGTATGTATGTATGTATGTATGTATGTAATGTAAATTAATGTAATGTAATGTAATGTAATGTAATGTAATGTAATGTAATGTAATGTAATGTAATGTAATGTAATGTAATGTAATGTAATGTAATGTAATGTAATGTAATGTAATGTAATGTATGTATGTATTTATGTAATGTATGTATGTATGTATGTAATGTATGTATGTATGTATGTATGTATGTATGTATGTATGTATGTATGTATGTATGTATGTATGTATGTTATGTAATGTATGTATGTATGTATGTATATATGTATGTATGTATGTATGTATGTATGTATGTATGTATGTAATGTATGTATGTATGTATGTATGTCATGTAATGTATGTATGTATGTATGTATGTATGTATGTATGCATGCATGCATGTATGTATGTATGTATGTATGTATGTATGTATGTATGTATGTATGTATGTATGTATGTATGTATGTATGTATGTATGTATGTATGTATGTATGTATGTATGTATGTATGTATGTATGTATGTATGTATGTATGTAATGTATGAATGTATGTATGTATGTATGTATGTATGTATGTATGTATGTATGTATGTATGTATGTATGTATGTACTGTATGTAATGTATGTACTGTATGTAATGTAATGTAATGTAATGTAATGTAATGTATGTAATGTAATGTAATGTAATGTAATGTAATGTAATGTAATGTAATGTAATGTAATGTATGTAATGTAATGTAATGTAATGTAATGTAATGTAATGTAATGTAATGTAATGTAATGTATGTATGTATGAATGTATGCATGTATGTATGTATGTATGTAATGTATGTATGTATGTAATGTAATGTAATGCAATGTATTGTAATGTAATGTAATGTAACGTATGTATGTATGTATGTATGTATGTATGTATGTATGTAATGTATGTATGTATGTATGTATGTATGTATGTATGTATGTATGTATGTATGTATGTATTGTAATGTATGTATGTATGTATGTATGTATGTATGTATGTATGTATGTATGTATGTATGTAATGCATGTAATGTATGTAATGTAATGTAATGTATGTATGTATGCATGTATGTATCCTTGCACTTCCCCTTTGCTCCCCAGTATTTTCCGCAAAAAGCACGGTTTTCCTGCGTTTTCGCAAAGAGGACGACCAAAAACATTGAGTTTTTCCAGATTTTCGGCAAAAGGATGCAAGAAGCCCAAGCCAGCCAAAAAGCCGGCAGGGGGAATCGAGCCTGGGACCCCTGTTTTGCGACACCGGCTCCCCGAAGACTACGTTTAGTGGAACGTCATCAAATTGCCGCGCGGTACGTGGGGGGACCCCCCCCCCCCCCAAAAAACCTACGTAATAGACGTCGGGCGGGGGGGGGGTTAGGGGGGGGGGTTATCCTCTATCCTCTAGTAAGTATCCGACACGCCGAGCAATGTCGGCGGATACTTGAGTAAGGGCACCAGTAAGGGCCCAACAGGTTCAAACTGTTTCGGTTACGCAGCTTTACCAGGTCAAGATAGGTCAAATACTCCTTTTCCAACCGTGAGGGAAGCGGACAGACAAGGTTTCCCCTTGTCCACTTCTATGACCGGAAGAGTGTAATACCATCTCAACTACTGTTTGAATTGTTTGTGGCCATGCGGCTTGTCAAGCAACGTAATTTTAGAAGGAGGGCATCATGAGTCACAACCAGTTGGAAAGGCTACGCTTTGGCCTCATCCTAGTACGCACGCTCAGGGCAGGGCAGCACTGAAATGAAAGCAGTTGACGAACAACTGAACTGACCCTGAGACAATGGTTGATTCTTTCGGAAAGTGAACGAGCAGCTTTGCCATTGCATCAACTTCAAAGTTCTGGAGCAGTTCTCCGAAACTGACATGTGTGACCTGTGTGGATGTCTGCTTGTTTCTGTGCAAGCCATGACGCAAACATGGCCATGTGGTCAGGGAGGGCCTTGGCATCGACTCGCGGCACTCACCGAGGAAAAGTTGTGGGGAGCGAGCATGCCAGATGTTTGCAGAAACACTCACTTGAGCCCAAGGACTTTAGACATTTCTGCGGAATATCATTGAGGCAGACGGAAAGTTCTCGTTTGTTTAGCCAATCCAATCAGGAAGTGAGAAGTGAAGTTGCTAGTGGTTGCTGTGGATTGTGGATAGTGCAATTCAGATTTATGGGAGTGGCTTGTTTGAGCTGTTGACCCTCCATGTTGATAGCGATTTCAGCGGTCCCCTCTGGTGGTTTTCTACAGGAATTTTCTCATCAAAGCGCAATGGTTTCCAAGTTGGTGGTTCACCCTGAACAATGGTTCTGATTGACAAACTCTGGGTTTTCACGAGCACGAGGGTCAACCCCCAGATCTCTCCTGGCTTTGGTGCCCCCTGTCCAAATGTGACGCCATTTGCTCCATACTTTTCCCTGCATGTACAAGGCAACAATCAACACACCATGTGCATTCTGAGTGTTGATGGGATCATTGTTTCCAAGCTTAAGGATTACGTTCAAGTATGTGGGGGGCGTTTTCCCCAACATGGGGGTCTTGAAACAAAGCTTGGGTTTGGAAGCAGCCCTGCAAGTTAGGCAGGTTCCTCGAGATTCCGGGTTGCTGTTGGGAATTTGGCGGCTGCCCTCACTTCCTGAGTTCCTGGACTTTTAAGCTTTTTGGGAACACCATTTAGTGATGATTTTTTGCCAATCCACATGGAAGATGTGCAGGGTACATCCTTCTTGTAAGACCTCCATGTGAGGCTCACTCCGGAGTGAATTGACTTCTTCGGCTTATTAGGCAAGATCAGTTTAAAGGCAAGCAACAGTTCAGGTGTTTTGTGGCTATTCCACTCAACCAATAGTGGGGCTTCATACCAGTTTGGGTTTTCTTGTGAGATTCAGGTGGGCGGGAGCCTGAGTGCGTCCTGGGCCGCGACTCTGGAAAGCGCAAGGGCCGCGCTGAATGAGTCCTCCAGCGAGGACGGGCTGGCGTGCAGGTGCTTCGGGGCTGGGGCTCCGAACACTTCGGGCCAGGTCCTCAGTGGTTTACCGCTTAGTTCCCCTATTTGTCCCAATCTTTTCGATACCCGCGCTGGAACCCAGTTGTTCAATGAGTAGTAGCCCTTCATGTTTGGTGGCATCCCTAAACATATTTGACACCAGGAACACCCCGGAGATGTGGGTTCAAGCGGACGAGGAGCTTTGAGGTTGCCCTGCCAATTTGCATGGAACTCATGTGTGATCCTTTTCTCACTCAAACCCCTCTTAAGCCCGAATGAGTTGAACAAGCTACCGCTTGTTGCTGGTACGAAATTGGCACATGTACACAGGCTGTTTGAATCCTATGAGCACCGGCCGCTCAGAGTGGTTTCTGAATATCCCAAAGCGAATTCGGAACTCGACAGGGTCCCTGTTAGAGGAAAATGGTCGTTCAGTGGAGCCCGTTCAAGTTCCATGTTTGGTTTTGGGAGCGCAATTTTTCCAGTGCCACTGCTGCGAGTTCCTTGTGCCACTGCTGTCAGGTGAGTCAAGCGCTTGCAGAAGCCAAGGGGGCGAGGGAGTGGTAACTTTGAGACAAGCCCAAGTTCATGGCGACCACGGCGGAATGGTTCTGCGAGAACCTGTAGCATGCAGGTCACCTCCTGAAAATCAACAAGGAACCCTCCAACTCAAGAGAAGGTCAACAGCGACCCCCCCAGGCAAAGGCTCGACAGCATGGGGTATGTTTGCTGCTTTTTCACCAGTGTTCCTTGGCAAAAATCAGCTGACTGCGGCCGTCAAATTCTAGGACGACTCGGAGGCGTCAGAGGTGGAGATGGAGGACAAGAAGAGAGGCATCTCGCGAGCCCCACACGCGCAAAGCCGATTTCTGTTGGGAGTTTCTCAAAAACGTGGTCTCTGCATTCTGCATGCTCTGTTTGCTTCTGGTTTAGCTTTGCATACCAACCAAAAGTAGGGTCCACCGTTTTAGTCTCAGCTGTTAGGCAATCCTCAATCCTTGAGAAGCGGATCTCCTGAAGGTGGTTTTCCAAGGGTTATGGATTGGGATTGGAATCCCAACACTCCATTTTGAACAGCCCAGGTGGTTCTTCAGCTTCCGGCCTTCTGGAAACTGTGGAAATCGCAATGTTCAACCACCTCATCATGGACCCCCTGGAGCTTTTATTTTGGGTGGGGGGCTTGCCCATGAGCCCTGGCGGCGCCTTACTTAGGAATAGTAGGTGATCGCCCTCCCCAGTTCGCCCCCTTGGGGGTACAATGCACTAGATGTGACTCATCCCTCATCCCTGAGCTTC